AATGAAAATTATTAAATTTGTTTTAATTTATCATCCGATTAATTGATTTATTGTTTATTGTGACAGGCCTACTGACACCTATGGATTAGGTACAAAATGTCACTGAAGTTTATATGTGGGTGAAGGCAAACCAGGAGATACTTTGAAACAATCTAGTCTATGAAAGTTTGCTAAAATATGAGTTTCATTAATTGTAGCTGATGCACCAGTTTTAACTTTTTGCTTTCCATCTGCGGGTATTGTCAGAAGACGAGAAGAGTTCTTTGAACTGACCAAGAACAACCAGTTTGTTTGGGAGGATGACCATCACAGGGACCTCCTCAGGTGAACAACAAGACTGAATTTGAAAGGAGTAAATAAACTATTTACAGCAGGAGGTGGCTAATCTGGGATTAGTTTAGTTATTTCTTATATTGTATCACAATGTAGCCAGAAACCTAGTACATTATGTTTAGGTTTTATGTAAGAATGCAGAATCTGGATTAAATCTATCTGGATTAAATTTTTTCTTAACAGAAAAATCTGATCTGAAAAGTGTACTGTGCATTTGTATTTTTACCCTCTTTTTTCTGATACACCTAATTAAAAATGTAGGTCAAATATTCTTGAAGTTATGTTATACCATCACGTGACAGTGTTTATATTGTGTCCCTTCATCTCCCTCAGGTCAATGCTGATGACTGCATGTGACATCTCTGCCATCACTAAACCCTGGCCGGTTCAAAAAAGGGTAAAAAACAACAATCATCTACTCAGATTTACCTTTGTCTCTTTGTTGTGTTTTATTTTCTTTAGGTCACCTAACATTATTCTAACTGCTGCTTTCTGAATGACAATGGATGAGTTATTCTTTCTCATCATAAGCCTAATATTTATTACGGAAGCACATTGATAAAAAAAAAAAAAAGAAATTCGGGCCTTATCACTTTATAACGTGACACATATCTTGTAAAAACGGGATAATTTTATGTCCAAGAAGCATCTTTAATCTGTTATATTTTTAAAGCTAACATAATAGACATTTCCGACCTGGAATATATTATTCATCTCTGATGTTATGTTGCATGACAATAAATCTGAATCTGAAAAGTTGTTGGCATTATTATCCCAGCTGATGGATCCTTGTAAACCACAACAGCCAAACAGAAAGGCAGGTGCTCTAGGACAAAAAATGAAAGAAAACAGAAAGTGAAAATAATAGCAAATATTGCAAACGTGATAGTTCATTTCTAATCCATTCCAGATGCAAAAAGGTTTTTAAATCTCTCATTACTGAAGTTTCACAATTCAAATAAAGGTTTCACAAAACACACTAGGTTTGAAATATTCTGCTATTGGGGTAGAATAATCTAGTCCAGATTTGAAGTGTCGATGTATGTTCATTTTTAAAGCAGAACAAATGATTTCTTAACACTTATGTTAAGTAAATTTCCATGATTAGTTACTTATTTACAGTCATACATTAAGCATAATTTACATGATTATTATTATTCACCGAATTTAACTTGATTGTACATAATTACAAAAAGGTGACGTGAAAAATAATTAAATTCAAAGCATGATTTATTTTGGAGAGAGGAAGTCTTTTATTTTGGAGAGAGGAAGTCTTTTATTTTGAAAAATGCTTAACAGGATCTAGTTTTGTC